GCCGCAGGTACCCGGGAGAGATCTTCCCCATGGGCACCCGGTGGCACCGGGAAGAGGAAGGAACGCGGAGAGGTGCTGGGCCTTGGGTGTTGAAGGGGCACAAGGACAGATTCCGAGCTGGGGTCATTGGGCCGGTGACCTGGCCACGTGTGAAGGGAAAGTCCCAAGACTGGGGGTGGGGGTGCTAGTGGGGGTACAACCAGTTCTTGAATCTTGGAAACCCTGGCACCCGCGGAGGCGACGGGCAATCAGCAAACCGAATTGGTTAACTTTATTCGAAGTTTAAGCAAAGGTCTAAAGGCGCCTAAGTGTAGTAACTGTTGTGTTCACGAGAGAAAGGGTTAGCTAATGTGAAAGGTCTCAACCAAAGCAGAAGACCCATGGAAAAGTGTGCACTCAAATGAAGACGACTTTGCAAAGGATTCCAGCAATCCACACTGGATGTAGAAGTGCAAAATTCTCTGTTTAGTATGACAGTAGTTCCTCTGTGTTGCATCCTCTAATTACTGTGCCTTTGAATATGAAGACAACATACAAAGTTCAGGAAGGTCTTGATCACTGCTCTAGATGTTTCAAGCCAACCAGGACTAAAAGAGCTGCTTTGCACGGTGCTCTGCCTGGTGAAGGCACACAGCCAGTGGACTTCCTGGAAATCTTCCAGAAAGCAAAATTGCTGTTGTGATTTCCTGGAGTGGCTCAAGGTCTCACCTAACTTCCTCTAGAGCCTGGCAGCAAGTCCCAGCAAGACAGGAGCCAGGGTGGCTTGGGAGGGAACAAGATTTGTTCTGGACCTTTCTATGTCCCTTTTGATCTGGTGCCAAACACTGAGGGAGGTTGCTTCCTTCCGGGAACCTTCTTTACCATCTGCTCAATTCCTAGGACTGAAGCTTAAGAATCTAGTCGGTACCTACAGAGATATCTATGGTCATTAGGCTGTCTTTACATAGACAGAGGAAAGAAGTTGTTGGGGGAGGGGATTGAATATGACCTAAAATATATTGAAGTCCTCAAAGAATGAGTGAAAAAGAAAAGAAAATAATTAAGTGCCCCAGGTAGGCACCAATGGCAGACCAGTGTAGCTCCGTGAAACAGTGAGTTTATTCAGCTTATGTACAAGAGCATGAGTGATCCCTGACCAGCCACACCATTGAATTGTCACTCCAGCATGGAAGATGACCTCCCCACAGTCACATAGATGGAGTCCCCTCAATGATGGTCTCTTCTTCATAGCTCTGTAAATGGACTTCTGTTCTATGGAGTGAGCTAAGTCAAGTTAGAGAGTAATTAGTTCCACCCATAACAGTGAGGGCATTTCCAGGACATACTAACCAAGGGAAGAAGACCTCTCCCATAGGTGGAACCTTCCAGAACTTAGCCCAGATACCAAGAGTTCCAAAGAGGCCTCGAGAGATGGCTCACTTGGTGAAGGGGCTTACCCACAGCCTGAGCTGGATTCCTGGTAACCATGTGGATCCTTTAACCTCCACAAAAAGGAACACACACACAATAAATAATAAAGACACCCAGGAAGGAGTAGGGCTGCCAGCCTGGCCTCCAGTCGATGACCTGTGTGTTTGTCCCATTGCTGCTCCTGCTGTTGCTGGACTGTCCTCCCACACATGAGGACCCAGCTTCTTGGACCTAATGTTGCCTGAAGAACTATGATTTTGCAGGGTTCTTCCAGGCCTTCAGTATGGTAGTGGAACTGCTGAGGCTCCTGGCTTCATGGGCAGAGCAGGGTTCACAGACTCTCAATGTGCAGGAAGCATCTGTGGGAACCCTAAACTCACTGTGTAAGCCATTCTGGTAAACTCCGTTTATAATGTATATCCATTCTATTGGTCCTGTTCCTCTATAGAGAAAGCTAATAGATCAAGATTTCTTTTTTTCCTATTTTTTATTTAAATTAGAAACACGCTTCATTTACGTGTCAATCCCAGTTCCCTCACCTTCCCCTCCTCCCCTGCGCCCCACCAGCCCCCACCTCATCCTCTTTCTGCTCCCCAGGGAGGGTGAGGCCTTCCATGGGGGTGGTGGTCTTCAAAGTCTGTCATATCATTTGGAGCAGGGCCTAGACCCTTCCCTGTGTGTCTCGGCTGAGAGAGTATCCCTCTGTGTGGAATGGGTTCCCAAAGTCCATTCCTGTACTAGGGATAAATACTGATGCACTTCCAGAGCCCCATAGATTAACCAGACCTCCAAACTGACATCCTCATTCAGGGGGTCTGGAACAGTCCTATGCTGCTTTCCCAACTATCAGTCTGGGGTCTATGAGCAACCCCTTGTTCAAGTCAACTGTTTCTGTGGGTTTCTCCAGCCTGGTCTCGACTCCTTTGCTCATCACTCCTCCCTCTCTGCAACTGGGTTCCAGGGTTCATCTCAGTGTTTAGCTGTGGGTGTCGGCTTCTGCTTCCATCAGCTACTGGATGAAGACTCTAGGATGGCATATAAGGAAGTCATCGATCTCATTAAAAGAAGGGCTTTTTTTTGTTTTTTTGAGACAGGGTTTCTCTGTGGCTTTGGAGGCTGTCCTGGAACTAGCTCTTGTAGACCAGGCTGGTCTCGAACTCACAGAGATCCACCTGCCTCTGCCTCCCATGTGCTGGGATTAAAGGCGTGCACCACCAACACCTGGCTAAAAGAAGGGCTTTTAAGGTAGCCTCTTGACTATTGCTTAGATTGTTAGTTGGGGTCAGCCTTGTAGATCTTTGGACATTTCCCTAGTGCCAGATCTCTCTCTCAACCTATAAGGCTCCCTCCCGTTATGGTATCTCTTTTCTTGCTCTCCTCTATTCTTCCTCTGATTCCATCTTCCCGCCCTCTCTTGTCCTCTTCTCCCCTTCTCTTTCTTCTAATTCCTCTCCCCTCCCCCCATGCTCCCAATTTGCTTAGGGGATCTTCTCCCCTTCCCCTTCCCGGGAGAGGGGGGGACCATGTGTGTCTCTCTTAGGGTCCTCCCTGTTTCCTAGCTTCTCTGGTGGTGTGGATTGTAGGCTGCTACTTCTTTGCTCTAGGTCTAAAATCCATATATGAGTGAGTACATACCATTTTTGTCTTTTTATGACTGGGTTACATCTCTCAGGATGGTTTCTTCTAGTTCCATCCATTTGCCTCCGAATTTCAAGATTCCATTGTTTTTTTTTTTTTTTTCCGCTGAGTAGTACTCCATTGTGTAAATATCCCACATTTTCTCCATCCATTCTTCAGTTGAGGGGCGTCTAGGTTGCTTCCAGCTTCTGGCTATTACAAATAATGATGCTATGAACATGGTTGAACAGATGTCCTTGTTGTATGAATGTGTGGACTGCAGGATTTCATAGCAAAATTAGGACTAGAACACAAATAGCTCATAAAATCCCTCATGAAAGCATGCTTTGTGTATTTAGTAATTTATTAAGAACAAAAAAATCTATTTAGTTATAAATGCAACTTTATTTGACCTCTATGATATTTATCAGTACTTAAATACCAACTCTAACCTCTTTATTTATCTTACATAGCAATAGGTTCCATTCAGGCAGTTTCATAGTAAGTCCTTTTTGCTCGTCTTCTTACTGCTCTTCCCTCCTCTCTCCATGTTTCCCCCTTGCATCTTTTGCTTCTCCCCGTGAGAACCCTCTTTTCTCTATTCATGTCACATGTATTCTATCTCTGTGCCCTTCCTCAAAAACTTTTCCCATCCTTTTTGTCCCCCTTCTGTCTTTAAGAAAAAAAAAGAGATTTTTATTTTTACATATGTCAGGGCTTTTTTTGCCAATATGTATGCATGTATATGTACTGTGTGCATACCTGGTGGCCACAGAAGCCAAAAGAGGGCATCAAACCACTAGAATAAGGGTTACAGACAGTTGTGAGACATCATGAGGGTGTTAGGAATCAAAACTGGGTCCTCTGGAAGAACATCCAGTGCCTTTAACCAATGAGATATCTCTCCTGCCCTCCCTCTAGTCCACACACACACACACACACACACACACACACACACACACACAAAGATTCACATAGAAGGGAGAATCACAGTGTTTTTCTGACCCTGTGTTGCCTCACTTATTATAATAATTTCCAGATCCATCCATCTTCCTAATTTCTCTTCTTAAAAGAGAAGTAAAACCAAGATGTAGTGCCCCATTCCCTAGTCATTCGAGGGTCGAAGGACACAAAGGCTGACTCATTTCCTTCCTTGAACAGGGCCACAGTGAACACGCGTGTCCCAACATCTCTGTGCTAGGATGTAGAGCCCTTGGGGCACACAGCCAGTATCACTACAGCTGAGTCCTATCGTGATTTTATGTTCAGTGTTTCCTAATAAACTTCCATCCTGATTTCCATGGTGGTTGCACCAGTTACACTCCCACTAGCACTGAGTAAGAGTCTCCTCTCCACACATCCAAAGATGCATTTGTTGTCAACTGCTTTCCGGGTAACAGCCTGAGGTGAGATCCAGTCTCTCTCTCAAAAGGTGGTTTTAATTTGCATTTCCCTGGTATCGAAGGATGTTCTGCTGGTTACATTTGTTAAGTACACAAAATAGAGACACCTGGGAAGAGGAAACCTCAACTGAGGTATTTCCTCTATCAGATTGGCCTGTAGGCACATCTGCGTGGCATCTTGATGCTAGTTGATGGGAGAGGGTTCAGCTCACTGGGCAGTACCACCCCTGGGCAGGTGGTCCTGGGAGTATAACAAGAGTGGCTGTGAACCCAGGAGCAAGCCAGCAAGTAGCTTTTCTCCATGGCCTCTGCTTCAGTCCCTGCCTCCAGGTACCTGCCTTGACTTTGCTCAGTGATTAACTATGACATGGAAGTGTAAGAAGAAATAAATCCTTTCCTTCCTAACCTGACTTTGGTTGGTATTGGATCACATCACAGAAATACAACCAGGACACAAATTGATACCAGAGACAGGGGTCATTCTATGATAGCTCTAATCATATCATTTTGAGGGGAGGATTGTGGGAAGCTTTTGGAGGTTTTGTCTTGAAAAGCCATCAAGTGCTCCAAGCTTCTCTGTGTCTGTGGAAGTTGGGAAAATAATGCTGATGAAACTGAAGATGATAGAGTCCTGGCTTGGAAGTTTCAGTGTCCCTCAAAGACTCTACCAGGACAATTCATGTGATTTATTTAAGAG